CCGATAAATTTGTGAACCAATTTTGACGATTCCTTTTTTTATTTTATTTCTTATAATACTAAGTGACAGGGCGAACAAGGCGTGTGCCTGGTGGTAAGCGACACGCCTGTCCCTAACAATTGCAGTGCCACTCAGAGCTTTAATCACAAAGATCTGAGGGGCTCTGTCACTGCGCCCGACACACTCAGACATAAGTTGACAAGTCCCATGTGCCTGTAATTTTACCAGCACCCTTACCCTTCGAAACCGGAACGCAATAATGTTCACATTACTGCTTGGCGGCAGAAATAGGTAAGGTGGCAGTACTTCACTGGACGAAATCTTTCACAAGGAACTGTACTGGTACTGAAGTTGTTGGAGAGAGGGTACCTCAGTAGTGGTCCCAATTAAATTTGAAGAAGATATTCCACAACTAAGGGTGGCAAACTAGGGAATTAATGACTTTTGAGGTCCGTTTATTAGTACTCTGTAAAGTTAAGTTAAGTTAAAATACTTAAATAAATTCTAATTTATACCTAACAGCCATCAACCATCTATTTAAAGATGACGTAAGAAATACTGCAATTTGCAATCACAAAACTATTCACGGATTCCAGACCCTAAAAGTATCAAACTATGAATGTAGTGTAATTTTACAATCCAATCATGACTCTATTCATCCACACTGTGCTTCTTTAAAGCGACTAAGGCCGATGTCACACAATTAAGTCGCTTCGAGAGGTGTGTCCCGTCGGCTAGATCTAAGCCCGCGGCACCCTCCGCGTTTTGTTATTCAAATCTCAGGGAGCACTAAACTTGCCTTTTATTTACCCGTCGGCACTTTGAGTCGTTGCTCTTCTATACGCCTCATTATCGCCAAAAACACCGCTTTCCCAACTCAAAAGATCACAAAACGTCGAATAGAAAATGACTTCATGGACAACCTCTAAAAAACTTCGCTTCAAAATTCGTATATCTTATATATATTATCGTATATCGTCTGCTTAAAGGTAAAACCACATAAGTGACATTTTCCACAAAAAATCTCCAAATTATGTACCTGTTGTATGAAAATCACCATCGTTCTGCAGATAAAACTCTTATTGACTTTATAGCGTTTTTATTATTGAGTTTCACCTGCAGAAAGATAGTGATTTTCTTACCATAGCTACATAAATTAAAGACTTTTTGTGGAAAATGTCACTTATGTGGTTTTATCTTTAAACAGACGATATTATCTGTCAAGATTTAAGCTCTCGCTTAAAACATAATATGAATAAACGACAAGATAACTTTAAATTCCATTCCTTAAAGAGACGAACGATCAAAACGGCGGTTACCGTTACGAATGGGCTTAAACAACTTAAAGCCAGTGACATAAAAAAGTTCTTTTTAACCAAATAGCACACACGGGACCAAGCCTCAGCCGTAAGTCATCGAAGCTGTCAAGATAAGAATGAGTGAATGAACACCTGCCGCTACCGGTGTTACGCGTGCGCTGCGCCTACGCACCCGCACACCGCTCCGATTTTATAATACCGTTTTAAAAATTTCTCACACTAACACAATATTACATCTTATCGACCAATGTTTACAGTTGTTATTCGTACGCACAATTCGTTCTCTAAATTCGATTTCAGAGTGTACGCAATTACCGACCTAGACTAGTGTGATTATCTTCTTGAATAGACTTTAAAATTAGGTATAATAATGATAATCGTCGTTTTTAAAATACGAGAGACAAGGCTTGACATCCGGAACGTGTTTATTTTGGTTTTATTGGCTAAATAATTATTTTGATACGTGTTCTCGTGTGGAGTAATTTTTGTTTCATCACAGGAAATTGATAGACGTGTTAAGATGTTTTTGTGCATTAATAATTTAATATGTTGAGATGTAGTGGCAGCAACGAGATTGTGTACATAGATTCGTTTTAAATTTAATTTCCACACACTTAAATTTACTATGTTTTTTAAATAGGTTATTCAGAACATAAGATAGGTGCAAGAAAGGAGCCTCCGCGCACGACGACGACGTAGGTACAATCCCTTTCCTGGACTTACGTCTGGTGCATCCTGGGCAACAATCAGCGAATACCTTACGCCAAAGCCGACAAATCCTTTCACGATGGCAAACATTATAGTAATATATAGTCAAAATGTAAACCATCGATACGATAAGATGAAGAAAAAGGGAACAACTCAGCTTTCAAACTGACTTTGAAACTGATTCGGTGTTCTTACATTCAATCCTTAGCTTAAACATCTTAACAAACAAGGAAAGTCAGATTGATTGTATCTATGAAGAAGTTATACAAGCTAAGCCACGGAAAGCACCAGCGGACCTCACGAATTTTTATATGTGCTTGTTGTCGGGTCTTTGTATTTGGTTTTGAACGAATTTTTAGCCGTAGCACCATCTATGAGAAATCTATCTAAGGCATAGCGTCTGACACGGTTTGCTAGGAGACGTCGGTTCGAATCCGGCCGGATAGAAGATTTTTTTTCTAAGTGTTCGATCTATGTATTATTATAGCAAATTGATGGAGTAATTGCACAGAAAAATAATTGAATATCAATTCAATAACAAATTTAAGTTTACAGTCGTCATGGTAAGCATGTAAAGAGATAATGTCTTCTGAAATTAATTAAGAAGAAAGAAATGAAACTATTTTTCCGGATTTAAATCGCGTATATTTGTTTTTTTCAAACAAACCGTATATTTGTTTGTTTGAAAAAACAAATATACGCGATTTAAATCCGGAAAAATAATTTCATTTCCTATGTGTAACAATCGCGAAAACCTAAAAACTCGATAAGAAGAAAGATTTATAAAACTAGGATTAAAAAGTTTAGTAAGGTTACTTAATATCATAAAGGTCCGAATTATCAACCTTGTACATGTCACTCATATAAAAATTAAATAACTACTCAATAACTTACTTATACTATACTTAATGTGTTATGATATTATATAGAAAGACAGTTGGAATCTCAAACTTCCGCATTCAGGAAACGAGTATTAGTCATGGGGCCCTAAATCGTTGTATCTGTTCCACTTGTTAATTAATTGCCCCAATTGTCGGGCGTGTCCTTCGTGGAATCTTTTCTACTCATTCATTTATTTATTGTAACTGGTTATGTAGTTACGAGTGGAAATTTTATATAAACTGTCATCATTATATGTGATAAGTTCCAAGTTCGCGGATGTGGTCATCTTATAATGCCTTTAATTTATGGCTACACTTTTATTATATATTTTTTTTTTTGACACTTCTGTCTATATGTTAAAGGATGTTGTAGTATTGTCTTTTATGCAAAAGTATTTCTATGCGTATTAAACTAAATGAATTAAATATTCATTATTACAATTTTACAACAAAATAATAAATATAAAATGAGTTTGCAATAGTGACCTTGTAGTAGCATTATGTTCGGAGCAACTTTAATTTTATTTATTTATATTATTTACATGTGATATAATAATTTCATTCTTTTTTTTAATAATACCACAAATTATATCTAACCTTAACATTTGTTAACCTTTTTGTATTCTACTTTCCTCAAGTAAAAGTTTCGGTCAGAAATACAATAATTGCTATAAAAGTGTGTTGCGGCCATTTGCGTAAAAGTGTCACACAAAAGCATGCTTGAAATTTTGGCCTGATCCGACCCTTAAAATGATACATGTGAATGTAACAATGTTACTTCTACGGAGAAAATAACATCACAGGTTTTCAAAGCACACAAGTACGATTGCTTAGATACATTTAAAGTATGGTCAATGTACATTATTTTCAAATTATTTATCATCCTTTCAAAACATACGTTTTCTGTTTCCATGGAAATTATCTGCAAACAACACTTGCCAAACCCAATCAATCACTTTAATGTTTGGTTTTATTTTAGATTTAAATTAGAATACATGTTTATCATGGATGTTTGAATTTGGAATATCTTTAAGATGTTAATGCATTTTAATAATCTAGCGATGGCACTGACCGATTTGCAATTGTTTTCTGAATCGCGGTGTTATAATTTTCCCTGTAGCCTACTTAAACGAAAGCATGTTTTTGTGTTGTCAGTTCTTGTACAGTGAAAAAATACATCCTTAGATTCAGTAGTGATTTGTTTAGAAGGGTGTTATTAGTTCATAAAATTTATGCATTTCACTGGATAGAATAACACATTCATGATAAAATAACATTCATTAAAATTTTACAGTTGCGAACGGGGCTCCTCTTAATAGGTTTTTTTTTAATAATACAATGATCGTAAGCTCCTATTCCACTAATATTACATGCGTATGGATGCATATTTGTTACGCAAATATAGTAATAAGAATGTATGTCATTAACACACCAATACCTGGTCTCAAAATAGGGAATCCTTTGTACTATGAGTACCAGATTAGTTCCGTAGGGACTATCCTGAATACCGGGACCAACCATCAATGGGCTGATGGTGAATTCGGACAAAATTTGCAGGATAGATTATCAATCCACATAATTATGTCCAGGTTGTGGTACTGTAGGAATTCTTATCATTTTTATCAAGAGGAAACTCGCAGGCAAAAGCTTTAATAAAATTTTAATTATGAGTTTGACTTTGGAGTGGTATGTCATTTCGTTAAGAAATTAAAAAATTAAAAGAAAGTTATTTGCTCGATGACCGTGAATCGACGAAGTTAAAGTTAACTTACTTAAATCGTGTTGCTTTCTCATAAGATTAAGTTGTGTTTCTTATCACTTCACAGATTATTGGAATTGTTATGCATATTTTAATATTAAAGATACAAACTTGTCGGACAAACGGTAAAAATAACTTAAATTATGAGAATAGTATAAAACATGTAAGTTTTTATGCGGTCTGAGTAAAATATACAAGTATAAATAAGTCTTGAGTATCATATTTCCCGCCGTTTCAATTACTTATTTCAACGCGACCACTAATGACAGAAACATGATAGACCAATTTAAAACGTCTAAAGTTACTAAGTTAAAAACGCTAACATAAACTTACCCCTATCTGATAAAGTATCCTCAAGCCACTTTTCGGCGGCAACGTCGTTCTCCTATGTATCAAGAATGATAGCTTATCTGGTCTCCTTATATGTATTTCTGCCGACGGACGGAACGCTTCAAGTGGGGTCCTTATAACCCCTCTCGTTCCCGTAAGAAGGTATAGGAAGAATATAGAAGGTAACACGACCATGGTACACTCACACAGTTAAGATTCGAGGGCCTAAGGGCTGTACAACGAGTGTTCGGGTTTGAGGCTTGAACTAAACTGACTGACGGTTGGCGCGTCGAAGCAGGTACTGCTTGGCCTACGCTCTTGGTATAACCACTTCGAAATAAGGAATTGTGTGTTTTGATACTTGAAAACGCTGTCTATGTGTATACACAGAATTGTGTTGATTTTTTAAATACGTATTTTGAGGGCCTTTGGCCAGCTATGAGACACTGTTGCAGTTTAATAATATATATATATATATATATATATATATATATATATATATATATATTCTATCACTTGTTTTAAAGTTGTTATAATAATTTCCCAGACAACCACACCAATTGCTGCGCGTCAAACTATTCCCTGTATTACGAGTACCAGAGGAACGGAACTCACTTGGGGCACTTCCCAGAACACCCAGACCATAACAAATTTAGAAAAGTTCATTTCCCAATTGGTCCTACCGGGAATCGAACCCGGGACCCCCTCATGCAGCGACTACAGTATAACCCGTTGGACCACCGAGGTTGTCAATATAATTTGTTTCAATATATTTTTCAACAAAGGAGTTGGCGAGTTTTTAGGTTTTGTGTATATTATGTATGTTATAAATGAAAGTAGTAATATCAATCATATGTAATCAATGTAGAATAACAATACTACAACGAACAACTTTAGACTTCACTTTGAGCTTTAGACTTGTTGTAAACGGCATAGAGTTAACTTTAAATCTTCAGTGTCAAGCTTCATGTACTCTTGATTTACTTTGCGTAGAAGTCCACAAGAGAAGTAATAAATAAAATAATAAAGAAGTAAAAGGTTTTACATCTTTGAATGTTTGTTAAAAGTTAACAGACCATTCTATTAGTAATTTAAAAGACTTAGAAACTTCATTGCAATTCTTTACGTTCTAATTTGAATCAGTAGTTATAAAAAATACAGATATTACGTAATTTACTTCTTTAACTGAATATACTATATATATTTCTCTATTACTTTGTAATGAACTCGTACTAAAAACCTGAATATTTTTAACATTCTTAAAAATAATAAATATTTATTATTTGTATCTTTAAATGATCAAAACAGTTGAGTCGCGGTTAGGTTGACTTCCTACCGACGATGTTTTTTTACACAATCTTGTTGCTCTTGTATAAAGTTGAGTTCAGAATGATATTAAGTTGCGATTAAGTTTGGTTTAAGTAATATTTTCTATTAACAATTTTATAAGGTAAGTAAATTACTTTTTTACTCAATAAGATTTTTTTACAAAATTCTAAGAAACCACCAACCAACCAACCATGTTAATACCTTTAAGCAAAATATTTTAACTTTTTTCACCCCCATTATAATTACAAACACAATCTTTAAGTAACTACCTATGCTATGAATGGTGTCGTCTTTCTATACGTGTAAAATACACAACGCTTCATAGTAGGAAACCCTTCCCACAACAAAGCTTCGGCCAAAGACCAAGTCGATTGTTTAAAACAATGGCACACATTTCGGAGAACAGGATTCCAATTCATTCATCGACTTTTCAAAAGATTGCGTTCAGTTTTTAGTCGACGACTACGACACGCATACGATTTTAAGTTATGATGATGATGAATAAGCTTTACTTTCCGTAGTAATGTTAAAAATTATAGGAATTGCGTGCTGGGTACATATCACTGTGCAATTTGTTTCATACAAAATCTCACAAAGCATTACTTAAACAATGATTACGTAAAATTATAATAAAATTTAATTGTAATTAACTTGATTGATGTCAGGATGTTTCACCACCAAGATATTCAATATATTTTGGGAAATTACACCACTAGTTTGTAATAATGTATTACTTGTATAATAATAATATAATATACATATGTATCACGGAGAGTGTGCTATGGAATTACATTATTTAATTCCGCCTTCCTCATTCCATCATCGTGGGACTAGACGTAGGCTGGGGTTCCACGCCTATATTGTGAATGTTCCAAAGATTCGCACGAAGTGTTTCGCTTCCACATTTATATGGCGAACGGCAAAGGAGTGGAATTCCCTGCCTAACTTGGACCTTTTCAAGGCGAGAGTGAATAGGCTATTTAAGTGTGCATGCTACATCGTCACATCGTCGACTTCACCGTCGCTTTCCGTCAGGTGAGATGGAGCCAAATACGCACTTATTTACTTATAAAAAAAATTAATACAAAGATGTTCGACCGAGAAATTGATTTCTCACATATGGCACTACGGCAAAAAAGTCTTTGAAAAAACCAAAACAAAGATCAAGCACATACAAAAAATTCGTAAGGTGCGTTGGTTCGTCCCATGACTTATTTAGCATAGCGTCTAACCGGTTTGCTAGAAACCGTTGGTTTAAATCCAGCCGAATCAAAGGAATTTGTTCTAAGTATTTGATCTTTGTATTAATAATTAAAATTTGATTATTAAATAAATATATACAAATACAATATAAATACATTCAATGTAAAATTAGTACGTAAATATTTCTCATTTTGTAATACGGTCGTAATGTAACATACAAAAACGATTTTTATTATCAAGTAAAAACCAAATCGTGTCGCCCCCGTCCCGCAACGACAAAAGGCTTCAATGCTCAGTATAACACAACCTTAGAACATCGTCTATCTCTCTCCCGCCCATTCATCGGCCTCGAGGCGGCATGAATGAACCGCTTCTTATGAATGAACGGACAGTCTCTATCGTATTATACATACTTTTATAGCTGTTTAGCTATCTACACTTATAAGGATGTTTTCGATGTTCGGAATTGTCTACGTAATTATTAAGTTCGTTTTTACATTCTCTCATTAAGTAAGATAGACTTTCGCTGTCACAAATTTGAAAAATACGGGAATATTTTGTAAAAATTTATTTACTTTTTCAAAACTACGTTATTTTTGCAATATTTTAAGAGATCCGTCTTAAAACAAGAATGCTAATTGAAAATGTATTATTCTAGAAAATTAACTTTGCGTGTATGCGCAGTACAGTGGCCGTACGCGCAAGAAAATGCATATACATTATTAATACTTAGTATACATATTTTCTATAGCTATTTCCATCCATAGATTTTTGTTTATGTAAGTATCCATAACAACAAGTGAACCAGGAATATCTTTCTCTATAAATTTGTCGATCATCATCTGATACACATTTATACGTCCCACTGCTGGGCAGGAGTCTCCTCTCAGGCAAGGGTTTAGGCCATATTCCGCCACACTGGCCCAATGCAGGTTGGGGACTTCACACGTTTTCCGAAGTTGTGAACCTTCTTCGACTTGCAGGTTTCATCATGATGACTCCTTCACCGAAAAGCTCAAGGTAAATTTCAAATTAAATTTCGCACATGAATTCCGAGAAACTCAGAGATGCGAGGCCGGATTGGAACCCGCGGCCTCTGTTTGAGAGGCGGTAGGCCAAACCATTAGGCTACCATGGCTTTATTTGTCGATGCTGCAGAAAAATCGAAAATTCGTCATTCCCCTCGATTTCAGTTATTTAATTAATAAATTCAGGCGTTACTTTGCGGAAGTCCATGTTAATAAAAATGGAAGTAAATTAATTAGCTACTCCGCGAACCCAATGAACGTTAAATCGTGCAAAATAGCTGCGCCTGTGTTAAATATTTTTTCATGCAGTTAATTTTCCCACCCTCCCTCAGCATTAAATTAATAAAATAAATAACACAAGCGCAACTACAGTCACAAACACCACCACCACATTATGAATATATTTGGTACACCATTTATTTTTTATTTCCGTTATTGGTTTACTTTTCTATCCCAGTGTTATTGGTGTCTTTTGACGACCTTTTGACCCAGTTCAATTTGAAAAACTTTTGTAAATTGAATCTTGTCTAGGTGTTCTGGAAAATACTTTCTTTGCACTGATGAGTATCAGATGAGTACAGAGGATTTAGGATGGACATTAGGATGTCCCTAATTTGAGATCAGGTGATTAGTATGATTGTGTTTATAATTATTTGTAACGTCCTGTATAATAGGGTGGTAAAGATAAGGCTGAATTATCTGGTTAGTGGTTTGTATCGTATTCCATTGAAGGAACTCGTATATTAATGATTGAAGTTCACTTTAAAAAGTTCCGTTTGATTGAATCGAGTTTTAGAACTCTCAACAAGAAAACTTAATATGCAAATTTGATGGACATATTTTAGCTTATTTTATTCCTTATTCGTAGTACTAGTAGCCACGTCTTTTCTACCAATTTAGACTGCTATAGCAATAATTCAAGTATGTTTTAGTTATTGGTTACTCCTTGCAAACGTAGCGGCGTGGCTTATGTGTATCCGCACCAGCTGCGAGCCGTATACGGACGCACCAATCGCATAAACTCGCGATGCATTCGCGTTGCATAGCGCTGATCGTCTCACGCGCCCATGTCTTTGTTATGCCAATGTGTGTGTCCGGCGCTTGACACGCGTACACACACACAAGCCGCGCTGCTACGTTTGTGTAAAGTTACCATACCTGTCATATTATACTATGCTGCGAATGTTCTACCATCTCCAATTTACCTGGCAATATTTAAATGGCATCTATTTTTGTTTTTACATCGTGTTTATAAAATCCCATTCACTGTGATTTGTTAGCGACTAGAATATGACTACATTAAAGAAATCCCAATCACTGACTTTCATAGCGCTAGTTAACCTTTTCTTTTTTTTTTTCTAGTTAACCTAGCTTTAAATGGCAGAGAGTAGGTAACTGTGAGACGATACGAACAAGTCAGATATTGTAATGTATACTTTTAGTAATAAGGTACACTCGTTTTGGAAGAGGCTAAAATATTATTATAATATCAATTAATTTCTGATCGAAAGCTTCTAACATAAAAGAACAGTTGAAAACAGCCTACTCATATCTTTTTCTTTTTACTTTCTTATGATTTGTTTTGCTATGTAACACGTTGTACGCCATTGTGCAAAGCAAATAAAGAATACTGAATATTGAACACATTGTTATTATCAATATTATTTTCACCAAGGCGGTTTGTAATAATTAATCGA